CCTCCCCCCCGCCCCCCTCCACCGCGCGCACGCACTCCAGACAGCATAGCGCCGCCCGAAATTAAAATTACAAATGACGGGCTCGCGCTGACCAAATTTACAAGGCTGTATACAAAAGGGCCGTTGTTGTTGGCGGAGGCGGCGGCCCCGGCCGCGGCCGCGCCCCGGGTGTGACAATGCGATTGTGTTTGACAGTGTACTACAAGGCAGGGCCAGACCGGCCAGACCGCACCAGGGCACGCTAAGTTAGAATGAAAAATGGGACGGTGCGGCGTGGCGCGGGGATAGCTGGCTAGGCGGTGCCTAAGCAGCAAGGGCTGCCCCCGCCTCCAACCGCCAACCGGAGGGACGTTCGAGGGGTGTCTTCCCGCCTCTTTCTCTCTCTCTCTCTCTCTCTCTCTCTCTCTCTCTCTCTCTCTCTCCCCCTCCCCCTTCACCGCCTCTCTTACGTCTGCGCGGAGAAGGGTAGTGGTGGTGGTGGCGGTCGCACTTCGGAGGCAGCCAAGCAGACCAGCCCTCTCGGCGGCAGCGGGAGGGTCACGGTGGGGGTGGGGGGAGGGTTAAGGGCACAACAGTTCGGGGGAATAATTACACTCCGGGAAAGAACACTCTCCTTAGCGCTGCTGCTACGAAATGCAATGTGGGACGGATGCCTCCAGAAGCGCAGGCACTCCATCCCCCACACCCTCCTCTCCGCCCCCACGCCTCCCGTCACTCCTCGCCGCTGTCCATGTGCGCCTAGCCGGCCTAGCCTGTTAAGGGACGAGAGACACGTCCTACTGCGACAAATGACAATTTATTTATTTTTTTGCCCCTTGAAAGAGGCATTGTTTTGCGATGAGCGACGCGCGACAAAGGGCGTCCGTTCCGCGGGGCCGGGCGTGTGCCGGCTAACCTTTCCCTCCTCCCTACGGCGAGTGGTTCATTAAGGCCGCCCCCGACAAGGACGGCCCGGGCGGCCACACCGCCACGGCGGCGGCGCTTAGAACACTTTAAAGCTCGCGCGCAAATAAATCGCGCCGATTATCGCGCCGCCAGATCGCGTGCCCGCCGTAGTAGTGTGCGGCGGTGCGGGGCTGACCGGCGAAGGAGGGGAGGGAGGGGCCAGCAGCGCCACTGACCGCCGCGGGAGGGGAGGGGCGGGGGTGCTTCACCTGAGGGGGCGTAACTCATGAGCGGCGATAGCGGGGCGGGTTCAGGATAAGATAGGGGTGCGGGAAAAGCATCGCCTCGCACCCGATCGCG